TCCGGTCTCCCCGCCCGGCCGCCGCGGAGCCACCTGACCGTGCGGGCGTCCCGGCCCCGAGGCCCGTGCGAGACTCACCTGCCACGTCACGGGCTCCCACGGCGGGCCGGAAGTGGCGTGTGCCTCCCGTGCGGAAATCCCCCGGTGCGAGCGTCACCTCGGCGGTGCGGAGCGGCGCGGCTCCCTCTTCCCGGATTCCGCGAGGGTTCCCCGAGGCGACAGGCGTCAGCGTCCGCTCCACTTCACTTTTGTGTCCTGTGCCAGGGGAGAGTGTAAGGGACTTTTTAAAAGAGAGGGTGTGTGTGTCAGACTCGTGCAGAGCCGAGGAGTCCTCTGCTTTGTGCAGGACTTGCAGGTCTGTAATTTGGTGGGGTGTTTTTGTTTTTTGTTTTTGTTTGTTTGTTTGTTTGAGACAGGGTCTTGATATGCAGTTCAGGTTGGCCTTGAGCTCCCTTTGTAGCCCAGGCTGGTCTCGAACTCACAACGTTCCTCCTGCCTCAGCCTCCCGAGTGCTGGGATTACAGGCATGCGCCACCACGCCCGGCTAGGTCTGTAATTTGGCACCTGGCTTATTCATAGCATAGTCACGCCGAAGTTCGTTTACAGCGCATTAATCAGCGCGTTCAAACGGCAATTTTATTTCCTCTTCTGTGAGTTTGCAGTTAAGGTGAAGAAGTCATTTCTGGACTAATAGGGGTTTTTTTTTGTGGTGTTTTTGTTGTGTTTTATTTTCAAGTAGACTTTTTTGACTTTTGAGGTCAAAGTGAAGTAGAAACTGGTTAAATAGACAACACAGTTCAGGATATCAGCTAACGATCTTGGCTACCTTCGCTCTACCTAGATTTTTTCCTGCTCTGAGCCAATGACAAGGCACTTCTTCACTGATTTGCACTGTTGATAAAATGTCACGCTGCAGGTTTCGCAATCTCAGGGTGAAGTACATTTTACCTAACTCATTTAACAGCAAATGGCTTGCTATGAAATGTTACATAGAAAACAGTCTAACTCCTTGTGTCAGGCCTGAAAAGCAGTACGGACCAAATAAATGAGAAATTTTATCCTAACCTAGTTTTTGTTATCCTTTTTGTCTAAACCTTACTAAAAGCGTACTTGCTGTGAGTGGAATTCAGTAATTAAATTACTTTATTTACAAGATTCAGGGATAAAGTCTTTTGGATGAAGATGACATTTTTGGTCAAATTATTTTCAGCTTAGAACCCCTACCACAAAATCCCAAGACATGTATCAACTGTGAACACTTCAAAAGATACACAAACAATCCTCTCAATGTTTTAAAGAAAGAATAGATCTCAAAGAAGCAACATCATGAGATCAGACAAAAAATCAGGGTCATTCTTCAAAAAGAAATGCTGAGGCCTGGTCTCAAACTTCCATTAGACTAAAATTACTATTTATTTGCAACTCCTTTTGTTGACCTTGGCATTAGGGTTTGATTTAGTTAAATTCAACTTTCTTTGAACTTTGTTCTGTTTAAGCAATATCTGTGTGTTCAGAGATTTTAAAAAGCCAGATATGGTGGCACACACCTCTAATCCCAGCACTCAACAGGCTGAGGCAGGAGGATTTTGGAGAGTTCAAGACCAGCCTGGGCTACAAAGTGAGCTCAAAACCAGCCTGAACTGCACAGGGAGACCCCATCTCAAAGAGACAAAAATAAATAAATAAATAAACAACCTCCTTGGTTAAATCAGTTAAGTAATCATAAATATTTGCTAATAAGTAATGCTTTCTTTTAAAACTGTTCCACTCCTTGTTTCTCTTATTCTCCCTAAAACTATGAGTAAATCTTACAAACTTTTTTTTACATTTTCAATATACAGTAGTTAGCTTTAAAATTTTGAGGAAACCTAGTGTAGTAATGTGTGTCTGTAATCCCAGCACTTGGGAGGCTGAGGCAGGAAGATAACCTCAAGCTCAAGGCCAGCCTGGGCTACATAGTGACTTGAAGACAAGCCTCAATTTCATAGCAAGACCCTGTAGCAAGACATTTTTTTAAAAATACTGAGAAGCTGGGCATGGTGGCACATAACTGTAGTCACACCTACTTGGGAGGCTGAGGTAGAAGAAAGTTCAAAGCCATCCTGGGCCACTTAGCCAGACCCTGTCTCAAAGTACCACAAACAGGGGGCCTAGTGGTAAAATATCATCAAGACAGGCAGAAAGGAAACTATAAACAACAAAAATAAGGCAAGGAGCAGTTTCTGTAAGGAAACAAGCTTTATACAAAGAAAACCCAGTACATTTGATGATTTACGCTCAAAACTGAGACAGACATTCCTCAAACAATGTGCTGACGGGCAGAATGGACTAGGCTCACAGTAGGACCCCTTTGCCCACTTGCTGCCCTGTCAGCTGATTAACAGGATCAATTCGGTTTGCTTTTCAGGAAGAGGAAAATTATTTTAGGCCTTTTAATTATTTTAAAAGACTTGTTCTGTTTCTATTTCAAAGAAAGAAGCAGTTTCAGTCACAAAGTATCTGTCCGAACAACGACTTTGTCCTCCGAAACTCTCCTGTGGCTGCATTTGAGGAACGGTTCCTTTGGCCTCATTTGCCTGTCACGCACATCTGCTGGTGTCTGAAGTCACCTGCCGCGAAGCTGCGTCCCCAGTGCAGTCGTCACACGCCAGCCCAGGAGGTCCCGTTGCTTCCTGTGAAAACCTTTCGTGCTTGTGTAGTTCTTCACAGCCTCACTGAAAAAAATCCCCGCCGCCCACGCTGGTCGGTTCTCATCACCTTGCACTTGAACCATGGGAATCGTTTTCCTGGACTCTTCCCCCCAATCCTTCTTACGTGTTGAAGTAAACCCCCCAAATACTTATTCCATTTGTATTTTCCTGTACCCCAAAACCTGTATCTGCTACCTTGCCTGCACCAGCAATCTAGAATTCCTCTCCATAGCCTTTCTCATGCCTTGCTGAGCGAAACGCAGAGTCCCACCTGTAGCCTTCAAAGCCCCATCGGACCTCCCTTCCCTCTCCGACCTCTCGTCCACCCTCTCCGGGCGCATTTTTGGTTTCTTCAGCTCTCAAGCACAAGCCTGTCTTTACGCTTAGCTCACTAGTTGGATGCTGTTCCCCAGCATACCCACGCAAGTCATTTCTTTGAGCCTTATGTCGCTGGAAGATGACACCTCTGCGCATGCGCCCCTGCTCCCTCTCGCCTTTCAACCCCGCTGGCGTTGCTTCGTGGCTCCTCTCGGTGTCGTTACGTGCTCGTGTCTATGTTCATCACATAGCCTGGCAGTTCTCAGGCAGCTATGTCTGTCTGCTTGGTAAGACTGCAAGAGTAAAGACCCGGGGCTGTATCTTAGCTGTGCAAGCTCAGCACTTGATTTAGGACCTCACATTTAACAGCCATTAGGTAATTTTTTTTTTTTTTTTTCAGCGCTGGGGATCAAACCCAAGGCATGCTAGACAAGCCCTCTACGACTGAGCTACCCTCCCAGCCCCACCGTCAAATATATTTTGAATGAAAACACTTAGAGTGTCATCTCTTCTAGCATTAGGACGTGTGTGTGTGTGTGTGTGTTCTGACTTTTGGCCCTCACTAATTCCCTCTTCTAAGTTCCTATTGCACTCGTAGCTAAAACATCCAACTAACACTTGTTTCTAAACTGTGTTCTATAGTTTTTTTAGGGTCTTACCTAGTATGCCATTTTGTGTCTCTCGTGATACAGCCCGAATAGTGTAGTTGAAATAGTTTTAGCCCCTAATCCAGCCCCATCTTCCCTGGGAAGGGCTAAAAGTGATGGCGCACACCTGTAATCCCAGCTGGGGATATAGCTCAGTGGCACAGTGCTTGCCTTGCAAGCATGAGGTTATGAGTTCAATTCCTAGTACCACCAAGAAAAAAAAAAATGACATTTTCCCAAGCCAGGTGTGGTGGCACATGCCTGTAATCCCAGCACTTGGGCGGCTGAGGCAGGAGGATCATTGTGAGTTTAAGACCAGCCTGGGCTATAAAGTGAGCGCAAGGCCAGCCTGAACTGCATAGTGAGACGCTGTCTCAAAAAGACAAAAAAATGAATAAATAAATACCTGTAATCCCAGCACTTGGGAAGCTGAGGCAGGAGGATCATTTCAAGTTTGCAACGAGCCTGGGCTAAAAAAGTGAGCTCAAGACCTGCCTGAAGTGTATAGCAAGACCCCGCTGCAAAAAAAAAAAAAAAAAATGGGGGCTGGGGATTTAGCTCAGCAGCACAGCACCTGCCTGGCAAGCACGAGGTTATGAGTTCAGTTCCCAGTACCAGAAAAAAAATTTTAAAATTTAAAATAAATAAAAGTACTGTACAATATCAAATAACAACTCTTAGGCCAGATGTAGTGGCACAGGCCTATAATTCCAGCAGTTGAGAGGCTAAAGCAGGAGTATCACTGTGAGGTCAAGGCCAGCCAGGGCCACAAAGTGAGCCCTTGTCTCAAAAAAAAAAAAAAAAGAAAACCTCTTTTTACATTTCTAACTGCAAGTATCTCCATCTGCAAACATCTTGACACTATAATATTAAAGATATGAGACACACTTCCTCTTTAAACCTACCTTTTCCTCATGATCCTTTTTTTTCAGTGCTGAGGATTGAACTGAGATACATCCTAGCCCTTTTTCTTATTTTGAGACAGTTACTAAACTGCTCAGGTGTAGGGAGTGGCTGAAGCTGGAAAGCAGTCACACCTGCAGAGCTAAGACAAAGGCAGCCATAGAGCCAGGGAGAAACAGCTGAGAGAAAGCCAGCCGTGTAAACAAGCTGTTGCAGCTTGCAAACTGGTTGCTAGGCAGGGAGGGTGAAATTGACATCAACCTCCTGAGTGCATAAATAAATGCTTCACAGTTCTTGGGCAGTTCCTTTCCTCTCATCAGGGGAGAGGGCCATCTGACCTCAGCTTCCCTCTCTTGTCTTTATTTCTAAATTCTTGGTTGGGGATGGGATGCAGCTCAGTGGCACAGCACCTGTCAGGCAAGGTCCTGGGTTCAATTCCTGGTACCAAAAAAAGGAAAATATTAAATATTTCTAAACCCTCTGGCCATTTTTCCTGGGACCATGGTGCCAAACAGGGAGCTAGTAAGGAAAAACAAGTGGGTAAAGGGACACTTCTCCCTTTGCTCGAAATGGGGGGATGGGAGAAGTGCATTGGTGGTGTCAGTATTCAGCAGAGGGGTGCACTGGTATTGGCAGTTATCAGGTATAAAACTCGGGGCGTGGAGGTCTACTGACCTTAAAAAAATAAATAAACAAATAAAAATGAAAGTAGGCCTTGAAGCAAAAAGGGAAAAGGTGTATTGATTTACTAGTTAAGCATGGGGCAAACAGTGTCAAGAACCACGTATATGTGTGTAGAAGTGGTTTTTGCATGCCTGATTCCTATATTTACCTTCCTTTTGTGGATTTTGGCTAGAGGAAGTTTTACAACCACAAAGGATTCAGCTGGGAGTACTTTTTTTTTTTTTTTTTTTTTTTGAGACAGGGACTCACTATGCAGTTCAGGCTGGCCTTGAGCTCACTTTGTAGCCCAGGCTGGTCTCGAACTCATAATGATCCTCCTGCCTCAGCCTCCCTAGTGCTAGGATTACAGGCGTGTGCCACCATGCCCGGCTGGGAGCACTATTTTAAAATCAAGTTCCAGCAGGAAAAGGAGGGCGAGGCAACAGCCCTAGCATAGACCTTGAGCCCTCTAGCTTTGTTCAATCAGATAAAGAAGCCAGACCAGCAGGCAAGGGTTTTCAACGTGTCTACCCTGTTACTGAAGTTCAAACTCCCAATGATTCAGGACAAATTACATGCCTTTGGGTTTGTACAGATATTAGTCCCTCATATGTACAGGGTCCTACCTTGGTAGCAGGTATCACTCAGGTTATTCATTCACAGCCTGGAGGAAAGGGGAAGAAACAAGGCTGCTTGTTTCTGTTGTGGGGACAAGGAACATTTTGCCCAAAACTGCCCTGCCGCACCTGTAAAAGCAACACAGCCATTAACTGCATCTTCAACAAAACCTTCCTGTCCCTGTATAAAGTGTAGATGAGGGTCAACTGAGTGTCGATTCAAAACTGATGTGGAAGGCCAACCTACTTTAAGAAACTTCCAGCAGGGCTTGCTACAGTCCTGCCAAACAGTAGGGGTGCTATGGTCTGGGGAGTTTCCCTGAGACCTCGTCCCTGCTAGGTGTGGTGGGCTCCTCCTGGTTGGGAGGAAATGCTAAGAAGAAAGCCAATCATCCGGACCTCTACTGACGTTTAAAGGGTTATTTAACAGGGAAAAACTGCTGCTTTCTGCTCCTCTCACCACTTCTCACAGGCCCCCAGGCAGGAGAGGAAACCAAAGAACTCTGTGAGCCTGGAGTTTGGCCCAGACAAGGGCGGTAGGAGGAACGATGTTGGGTGTTTCAGCTGCAAGGGTGAAAATTATGGTTCTAATGTAATATAATATTGATAGACTTAATACTGGCTCTTAAGGATTGTTAAACCTGTGTTGTGATGTTCAAGTTGTGGGATGATAAAAATAAGCTTGTCTTTGTATCTGAAAGTGATTTTTTAAAAAATGTGGCTGTTTGCCAACTTGACAAGGGGTGAATTGGAATGGCTGATACATGGTGTCAACTTGAGAAGTTTAGAAGCTTGGCTGAGTAATGGGGGTGGGGCTAGAGTCCTCACTTTGTGAACATCCTCAGCCTGTGCAGGAGAAGAGCGTGGAGATGGTGTGCATACTGCACCACCTTAGATGGGGAGCCTGCTTACAGTGTGGGGGAGAAAAGGACAGGTTTTTCTTTTCTGCACTTAAGACTAACAATGGTCCAGCATATACAAGTGCTGCTTTCCTCCAAATGTTTTGTAAAACGTTTGTTATTTCCCTTGTCATAGGAATTCCTTATAATCCTCAGGGTCTAAAAAAATGTTAAACATGCTCATCCTGTGTTCAAAATTCAATTACAAAAACAAAAGGGGGAGTCCATCCCTCCCACTTCACGTGGCAGTGTATACTGTTACAATTCAATCAGGTAAAGCTAAAAAGCTAATTTAGGGTTGAGGATATGCTTGTATTTTGCTAGAACATGCTGTCCAGCCATATCATAAACTCAGATCTGCAGAAAAAGTTGTTTCTACCTTTCAGGAAGCTGGTGCACAGTCCTGTGACAGTGACACCTTGAAGACTGCTCTGCAACAGAGAGACAGGGATGAGGCTAGATCTGACCTGGGGCCTATCGAAGGAACTGACCCAGAATGCCCAGGAGATGGTAACCAAAATGGGAATCAAAGGTCTGAGTAGGTGATAGAACATATAGAAATAACTGGGCTAAAAGGTACCAGTATTCTTAAGATAAAACAAAATACAAAAAATATATATTAATTATAGATAAAAGAATTTATTGCTTCCAAATTCTTCTTCTAAGAGCTCTGCACTAATTGACAATAAAATCTGTCTAGTTTATTTATAATTAAAAATTTATAAAATTGTAGAATTACTATAATTCAATTTGGTCAAAAATATATTTGAGTGCACTCTGATTTTATAACATATGTGCTTGTTTGTTCAACCTGTTAAGCTGTGTACTTGTTATTTGTCTGTCCATTCCCTGAACATCTGTTCCATTTTTATTTGAACTCAACAATTTATTCTCTTTTCCTTTTTTCTTTTGCATTTTTGGATCATTTGTTCATAATACAATTTGGGTTCTAGATTTAAAAGCATGCTTCCACCTGTGTTACTAGCTGGTCAAAAATGATATCAAAATTTGTTTTTCTCATAGGTCATCAAAAAAATTAAGATAATTAAGATAAACAAAAATTCCTTAGGGTGGAGAGAGATTATTGGACAGGACTCCAATTGGTGAATAGAGGATTGGCCAACCTTTGTTCATTAATACGGAGCTCCTAATGATCTCCATAATCTTATGGGAGACAACCCCAATAATTCGGTCACAGTCAAAAGGTAAAGTTTTCTAGAAAAAAATGCAATAAGATTTTCTCGCAAAAGATGCACTTAGTACAAAACTAAATTAAAAAATAAAGGTTTTCACATGTGTATGATAGTTACTGTTAATCTCATGGTGTATTAGATGTATTCGTGACTCCAGATGTACAGGTCTTCCAAAATGTAAAAGAAGGATTGCTGATGGTGTTAAGACTTTTCTTTGAACTCAAACCTCTGCCATTAACAAAAAACTTGGGGCTGGGGATTTAGCTCAGCGGCACAGCACCTGCCTGGCAAGCACAAGGTCATGAGTTCAGCTCCCAGTACCGGAAAAAAAAAAACAAAAACCAAACCTTGTGACGTACATCCCATTAAAGGACAACAAATTAGATAAAAGTTTCTTATGTGTTAGACAGAGATAATTGGTTAAAAGTGTCATGTTATGTCAAAATGAAAATTTGTGTTACAAAATGTCATCATGATTATCATGCTGCAACATTATGTATGGTTTTGATTTCTCATTTTCTGTGTAAAATATGTAAATGTTAACATTCTATAGAAATCCAAATATTAGAAT